GAGTTGTGATTACTGGTGTGGAAATTGCTTTACCTTAGTGTCACAATACCACAGTGCTCTCAGGATGGCAGGCTGCCACTTTTGTGCAGTGTTATGCATAGAACACAAACTGGAGTCTTATTTTTAAGGTAGCATGTTAGAGGCAGTCGTACTGTACTGAGCCACACCGTCAGAAGTCTCAGGGTATGGCATTTCATAGCTGAATAGATCCTGTCAATGCTACATGCCTCATTTGCATCTTTTCCAAGGTTTCCCTCTCTTACACCACGTGTGGGCTTTTCCTTATGTCATTCAATCACCTCCATAATCCTGTGTGTCAGCATGGCTTGTCATGGCATGCTTTTCAAGATTCTTCAGTTTTATCACTTGATGCTTATTCTTGATCACAGCACTGCCTGAAATCTGTCTTCATCCTTTCTCTCCTTACCTTTTTTCGTTACTGTGGCACTTCCTTCTCTTATTTCCTGCTCTTCAAGGATTTTGTTTCTGTACGAAGCTATGTGCATTGCTGCAGCCTGTTTTAAATAGAGTACTTTTATTTTTTTCCCTTCCTTGTGTTATCTGCACTTTGTTCTTCCTGGTCAGAGTTGCATGCTTGAGCCTCTCCCTTCTTATTGATACTAAAGCCCATTTTTACTGTTACATTTGTGAAAAGTGGTAAGGAGCTCTTTCTCTGTCTATGGTAGCTATATGAACTGTTGCTTTTCTTACTTTGATCTGACTGTCCCTTGGCTGTTAATTGCTCAGCAAGACTACTTCAGTTCACCTCTGCATGCCCAGGCTTGGACTCAATGATGGTACAAGGACATCTTTTGCTTTGTCTTTTTTAGTGAGCCCACTGTTTATTCTCTGTAACAGCATTATGCTCCAGGTATCCAGCTGCAAACCTGCCTGAAAGGAGTATGCTGGGGGGGTGTGGAGTTATGAGGTCGCAGATGTGATGTCATTGTCCCATTTCATGAAAAAAATAACGCACTGGAATCTCCTCTTCTCCTATTGGAGCTCTTTCATAGCTCAGTAATTTTACTTGGTCAGGCACATTCCTCAGGAGCGTTCTTCCTAGGAACTTGACTTTAGGTTTTCTTACCATTGAACCAGGATGAAGCACTTCATGAGCGATCCTATTCCTTTTTTTTTTTTTTATTAAGGCAGCATCCTGTAAATTTTAAAGTGAAAGCTTTTAAGAATTGATCCATACACTTGATACATACAATTGATACATTGATATAAGATAGGTACATGCTGCAAAAAAGTATGCTTTCAGTTTGACTGCTGAGCATGTTAGAGAACTGTGGTATGCAGTGTATACACTAATTAGTAAATTTTAAGTTTCAGCAAATACTTTTTCTCTGGTTACTTAGATTATATGTATTTCCTTGTTGCAAATTTGATTGTATACTGGCCCATCAAACTCTCAGAATTCAGTTTTGCATTCATTCACACAGGAGTGTAGCATTAAACATTAATGTAAGCGAGTAGTGACATGATCATCGTTTTACTTTGTATATTTGTTGCTGAAATACTAGTGACTGCTTGGAATTGTGTTGTCAGTTTATTTATGCTTCTGACCCAGCCTGATGTCCATTTTCTAGGATTTTTAGACTACAGTGGATTGATACTTATCGTTTTCTTGGAGGCGTTTGTTAACAAATTGATCAGTAGGATCAACTGTTTCCTCTGTGCCTTCAGCTTAGTCCAAAGTTTTGCATAACTTAATGCAGGAAAAAGTACTTGATCTTCTTCTCTTTTTTTTCTGCCTTGCTTATAGTTATTTTATTTCTGATTACCCTGTTATAATACTGTGCTGTGGCAGAAGGCAGAAAAATCTTGTCTCCTGTTCAGTTGTTCACAATGCGTTAATCTGAGATGTCTAATGCATACATGCAATGCTAAGGTATTTTTAGACCTTGTCTCTGACACATATACTATCAGATATAAAAATAGCCATTGTTTCTACAACCAAAACTAAAGGGGTTTTTTTGCAGCAGTAGTTTTAACTCCCAAGCTTTCTTAGTTCTGGCTGTGTTTTGAATGAAATTCTCTAGCATATTTTCTTTCATGTGGTGTTATATGTTATTTCTCCTTACAGACGCCTCCACCTCAAGAAGAAAACCACAGACAAACAGCCATATAGCAAGCTTCCTGGTGTTTCACTTCTAAAGCCGTTAAAAGGTGTGGATTCTAACCTGATCAACAACTTAGAAACCTTCTTTGAACTGGATTATCCAAAAGTATGTATACTGTTAGTGTCTGTTTTTTTTTTTTCTCCAATCCCTTCAAAAGTCCTAGCAGTAGCCTGGGCTAGAACTGTGCAACTTGATTATGTCTTGGATTGTTTTTCCTTCCACAGGAAATACGTAATTACGCATTTTACATGTTGCAAACAGAACTTACTGCTTTTTTTAAAAAGCTCTCTATGAAGGAACATGACAAAGGCTTAGGGATGAAATGTATTCTACACTTCACTAAGATTTGTTTCATTGTTATTCCAGTATTGCGGTGTTTATAGCAGTATAAATCCCTTCAATCTATAAAAGATGATTTGAAGGGCCAGACACCTTCCCCAGTTAAGTACTTCTCTGTAGCAGATTCTCTAAAAGGGAATAGAATATTTTCTTTTAGGTGTTAGCCTGAATATTTCTAGTGGTTTCTACTGATGGCTCATCTAGCTTAGAATTGCTCAGTGATGAGGTGGTGTACCTTACCAGTTCTACGTAGATAGGATGTCTCCAAGCAACTTATCAGTGTTGGGAAGCAAATAGTTAACAAAAGCTTACATTTGCTCTTGAACACTGCTTGACTTTGGAATGTAAGTGATAAGTAATGTAAATGATACGTGTGTCTGTCAGATGTTGTCCTTGCTCTGAGGAGCGTATAACTTAAAGGAGAGATCTGCAAATGCTTGCTGCATCATTCACTACTTGGTGTATGCTCCTGTGGGTGGAAAAAAGGACTACATTTTCTATTGCATATCCCCTGAATTCTAAAACCTGTAATTTACTTCTAATAACTCTTTTTATCTCAATTCTTATTGAAACTATTTCTGATACTGCAACTTCAGTTGTAAAAGGTCATAGGCAGGAGTAAGCTACACAGCGAGTTTCCTTTGTGTATTCTGACTGGGAGCTTTGAACTTACTCTTAAGGAGGCAGGGTAAAACAAACAAAAAAAGCCTGCACCATTTGAAACTTACTAAAGATTGGATAGTTTTTCTGTAACGAAGATTGGGGCTTTTCAAAAAGCTTCAGGCATGAAGGTTTGAATCCTTTCAACTCAACAAAAATGCAATAAAGATTAATTGTGGCCAAGATAAGTTTAAAGCATACTTGAGATGTCCTACTCCACACAAATCTGAATTTCAGGTAATAATAGTGACAATCATGTTTTTCCCAAGAAGAGTGAAATTGGGAGGTATGAATGCTTCAGTTTATTGGGGCACAAATCATAGAGAGCAAGCAAGATCCCCAGACTGTTTGAAAACACATAACTGCAGAAATACCTTATTTAAAAGACTGACATTACATCACAAAAATTGGAACAGCGGTGTTGCTTGGTATTCAAAATTCAGCTATCCAGGGAAAAATTATTAGGAAAGAATAATCTTAAACTTGTTCCAGTGAAGCTGAGTTCAACCTGCAGTGATACTGATTCTCTGAAATGTCTGTGATACCCCATGTGGAAGACCGTGTCCTGCATAGAAGTCAATTATGTAGCTTCTAAACTGCAAGACTTACATGGGATATTTTTCAGTGAACAGTTCTTACCTACTGTGCATATTGTAATTTTGGCAGAAATCTTGTAGTGTTTATGTAGATAGGCTTCTTCGTATTTCTTCTGCTGTGGTCATACATTTTGTTGTTGTTTACTCTGTTACTGCGTACAAAGGCCATTTACTGTGATTTTTTCTGTTTCCAAATATTGCAGTGTCAAAGGTTTTTATTTTTTGTTGAATTTCTTGGAGAATAGGGATATACAAGTATCATTGCAACTGTGGATTGAAGAGTAATTATTTAATTACTAGCAAAAAAATGTAAAACTATTTTTATTTGGAAGAGCAATGAAGAACTAATTTCTTCAGGGGGTAATTTCTATGGTGCTCATGCTGTCAGGATTGTTTTGTTGAGGTGGAAAGACCTGTCTGCTTAATGAAACAGGTCTGTCACCCTTTTAAATTCCATTTTCCATGGAGGTTAAATGATAGGAATCAAATACAGCTTGCTCTTTAGACCAGTTGGTTCTGAGTTTGTATTCTGAGAGGTGGAGATGTTTGTCTGACAGTTTGTAGTGCTAGACCAGGTCTTCCTAACTCCCATTTAGTGGTTAATGATTTTAAGTTTTGCATTTAGAGTTGGGATTTTTGTGTTTAACAATAATTTTTTTCCTGAAATAATGTATTTATTTAACTCAATGTCTTCTGTTGTATGGAATACTTCTTACTGAACACTATCCTCAGATATTGTCATCTTTGAGCCCACAGGCAGCTTTCAAAGGTCAGATTACTTTTTGCTTAAGTAGTTTACTGAAAATAAAGTTCAGTGAGGTGATAGAGTAGTATAAGGGACAGTAAGAACTGTTTTAATCACTAGTTGGGACTCATATTTACAACTACTATATCAAATGAGGTCCAAGAAAATTGTTTTTTAGTAAGATTGAATTTTTAAATCCTTGACTGTAAAAATGGCTTCCTAAGTATCTTGATCAGAAACTTGCATTTTCTGAATTTTATTCTTTTGATTTGAGCTCTGATAACTTGTTGAACCAGTTCAGTAATTTTAACAGGGGGAAAGGAAAGTTATATCAAGTAAGGAGTATTCAAGAAATTTGCTGTTAATGCAGAAACAGAAGTACCTCCATCAAAGCTTGCAAAGCTGTCTCAAAACATTGAGTGATTCTTGAAATGCTGCTTCCTCACTCACTGTTTGTAGCTCATGTTTAACAAGCATGTAGCTTGATTGCTGAAACAGCTACAGTTTTTCCTTGACTCTTGTTGATTTTTTTTAACCATTTTTCTATTTAGTAAGGAAAATATGTATACAATACATGTGCCTATATGTTTCTGAGCTTAGCTTTATTTTACAATTAAGTGTACATATACTGGTCTTTGTGGGTTGTCTTCCAGCTTTGTTTTGTATGTACATCTACAAAGTAAAGGAAGGTGTCATCTAGAGGTTTGCAGTCAAGTGTATGATAACATAATTCCTTTAATATTTTGTATGATGTAATTTCATTGACTATGAGATAGGGTTTGAAATTCATATAGGAACAAAAATGGAGGTTAAAATAAAAATTTTACCTTGTGTGTCAGGGTATCTTGCTTCATGCCTAATAGAAACTGTTCTAATAATGGGAAGACTTATGTTCTTCAGTACAGGACTTTATTGGGATACAGGCTTGGTTTGACCAGGCACTTGGTTGTGCATTAAAAATAGTCTTATTTAGCTGTGAAACAGCTCCTTGGTTTTATTTTTAGTTCTGTACCAGTGCTTTCTGTTTTTTCAGTTTGGTACATTGTTAAGCTTTATTTCCTAGACCATATTGATACTAAGTGCGTCTGTGTCAATATGTGTGTATCCATTTTTGTTTTTACTAGTATGAAGTACTACTCTGTGTACAAGATCATGATGATCCAGCTATTGATGTGTGCAAGAAGCTCCTTGGCAAATACCCGAATGTTGACGCTCGACTGTTCATAGGTAAGCAGTGCAACTTGAAGGTGAGACTCTTACTTGTAAAATGGTTTTAGGTCTTCAACTCACATGTGCAGTATTCTAGAATAGATGGTCATCTTGTTCAGCTCATGCTAGTTCTATAGCTTAATCATCTGTTTAGGGTAAAGAAGTAAATTTGTTATCACAATCTGTGACATCAGTTCAAAAAAACTCTAGGAAGAATGAGTTATGCTACTCCTGCAACTTTTTCCTTCTAAATCTGAAATATAGTGGTTCAAATCCGCTAAATGTGCAGGAAGTGACTTGGAGCTGTGGCTGTGTTTGAGCTTGAGGTCCTGCAGCAACCCTTTTACATCAGCTTAAACTTTAGGGCTCTCTTCACTTTACATGTGAATTAAGAGGAGGGAAGGGATATTAGAACTGGGTAGTAAATGTAATTTTTTTTTTCTCTGACATGAAGCGAATTGAACCATATTTTTCAATAGGAGGAAAAGACTGTCTCACTTTATTCTGCTCCTTTTTTAATTTTTCTGCTAAAATTACTGTAGAGTATAATGGTCATAATCAGTAGTCTTAAGAAATATAATAAAAAAATAATGTTTACTGTACAGAATGTAATAATAAACTTTGTAGCTCTACTGCCCTTTAATGACATTCACCTTGTTACCCTGCCATTTTGAGGAAGCATTTAAATATTTTTTTTCCTCTCTAATTCTTTGCATAATTGTAAGATCTAAAATATGGAAGTGAAGGAATACTTAAAATTCTTTTCATAAAAGTGGACTTTAAGAATTGATGGGTAAACATTTATTGTTCTTTAGTTATATCTAAATATTTTGGATATTGAGTCTGAATTCTAAAAAGACCCATACATACATTATTTGTGTATGATGTTTGTATTTTTTTAGGTGGCAAGAAGGTTGGCATCAACCCCAAGATTAACAACTTAATGCCTGGCTATGAAGTTGCAAAATATGATCTCATATGGATTTGTGATAGTGGAATCAGAGGTAGGTGTGTGTTGTGATGTGCTAACTGTTATATTGCTCTTACTCCCTTGTAGGCAAGTAGTTGTTGGAGATTATTTTGACTGAAAATACAAATAAAAATTAAAGTTAGAAATTCAGAAAAAAGTATTTTCACGATGTAAAAATATTCAATTTCTAATTAAAGGTGAATATTTCCATTAGAAATGCTGTTCAAACTGTTTCCTTTGTATTTGTTTTTTGTCATATTAATGATGTTAATCACTTACTATTTTTCTGAAACTTTGTTGCTCCAAAATACTGTGCATCAAAGTATATGTGTTCTTGATATTGGTAATAGAAACAAAGTTAATGTCTCTGTACAATAGACTGCTAATGACAGAATTGCTCAATTAACTGTCTTTTTCCATTTGTCATTTAGTAACTCCAGACACACTGACAGATATGGCCAATCAAATGACTGAAAAAGTAGGCTTAGTGCATGGGCTGCCCTATGTTGCAGACAGACAGGGTTTTGCTGCTACCCTTGAACAGGTGAGTGCAATATTGTCTTTTTTTTTTTTTTTGCAAGACCTTGTTAACTAAAAGTTGCATAGTGCTGCTTGCACCTTTTGAGTGAAGAAATGTTTATTTTCGGCTGCAGTCACACTTTGAACTACTTGGAATAACTTTTCCATGCTTCATAATTCTACTGTGGTGTTCTAAATGTTGATTCAATACTGAAGCTTAAAATACAAACAATAAAGCTTACAGGATGAAAATGATGGATTTTATTTAAATATTCATTAAAACTGAAGAACTCTTTCTAGTGCTTAGTCAGAAAGGGCCATTAATTCTATGTTGACATCTGAAAAGGAACACGCAAATGGTCATAACAAGTCATAGCAAAGTCCAGCTCACACAGCCCTATTTCCAATAGGGGTTATAAGCAGAGTCTTTGAGAAAAGTAGAGCACAAGCAAGGCTTATATCCTGTTTTCCTGTAATACTGTCTTAGCTTCCTGCAATTTTCAGCTGAAAGACTTCCTGAGCAGGAAATAGACTAGTATATTTACCAATTCTCAGTATTTTGTTAATTTATTAAGTATTCTAGTGAGAACAGATTTTTTACATGTATTTTTCCATTCTCTCTGTGCATCCATATAGATTTTTAACATCTGTAACTGTCTTTACCAGGAAGTTCCATAGATCTACTATCTGTTACAGGAACCACCACCTTGTTTATTCTGACCCTTGTTCTTCTATAGTACTATCACATGTCTCCTAATACTTCCTTTGGAAGAAGAAGGGGACAGGTGATTCCTATCAACCATCTTCGTATCACGTATTCTGTCCTATTGTCCCCTTTCTACTTTCTCAGTAAGTTCTCTTTTGTAGAATGAAGAAGTTGAGTTTTCTTGTTTGTTCCTTGGGTCTCAAGGCATGTAATTTTAATCAACTATCTTTTATTCTAAGCTGGCATGTGTAAGGCATTTTGGCCCCAAGGCCAAATGTGTGTCAAAGACAGAAATGCAAGAGATGAAAGTACAGTGAAACTCAGTACTTGTTCATTGCTTGGGGAGAGGGCAGCTCGTGTGATTTTTGTGACACAGATTCAGAATTTCCTCTTACAAGAGAAGAGCAGGGAGCTATAGCACAAAGCTTAGTACTGCTAGGCACTGAAGTAGCAAGAACTGCAACTCCTGCTTCTGTATGGCTGGAGGAGCTTTTCACTTCTGGATTGGTGTACTGCAAGATGAACATGCCTTTTCTAGAATGAATTACTGTATTTGTAAGACCAGTGTGAAGACCATCCATGGGAAGAATAGTAGTGGGAGGTGCTGGCACTCATTTCTACAGTCGCTTTATAGGACACTGCTAGTTTTAAGTTACTGAATCTTGTAAAAGCTCACAATCTGAATTTTTTCTGTGCTATTTCTGCTGCAAGTGCATTAAGTAAACAAAATTCCCCTGCTCCTGCACAACCATGTGGTAAGTTTCTAAGAACACAAGTATGCAGTAATGCAGTTAATCTTTAAGAGGAAGGAGACAGCGTGTCTCCATTAGTGTATTAATCCTGCTGATTAGTAACTTACCTAATGGATTTTGTAAAATATATGTATTCCCTGAGAACAACCTTAATAAACTAGAAATTAAATTACCGTATTTCATTTGGTATTTAAAATGTGGATTTAAAACTCACTTACAGATTTGTAAAAGCACAGCCAGTATCACTTCTAGCTTTCTTAGATTTGGTGGTAGACCAGATTTCAGATTGGTTGTAAAGATCTTTCCAAATATGCAGTCATAATTGGCCACGTCTAGCACTTTTTCTCCAAACATTTTTGGAGAAAACGTTGTCGGTGAGTAGTACTTCCATGAATATGTAGCGTTTTAAAAGACTTACCTTGTTTTGGCAGGTCTATTTCGGAACTTCGCATCCAAGGTCATATATTTCAGCCAACTTAACTGGCTTTAAGTGTGTAACAGGAATGTCATGCTTGATGAGGAAAGATGTCTTGGACCAAGCTGGAGGACTAATAGCTTTTGCACAGTATATTGCTGAAGATTACTTTATGGCCAAAGCTATAGCTGACCGGTAAGATGACTCTGAAGTAAGCTTATTGCTTTAAGTGCAGTTTAAATATTTATTAAACACATGAACACCTGTACTTACAGGATGTACTAGGTCAGCTTCATGTATATACAGCAAACATCCTTGTGACATGTGCTTTGTCCTGTCACTGTAGTCTTTTAGAAATAATTAGTCCATATCATTGTGAGTTCCTTTAGAAAAAGGTTTAACTTGGTTTATGTATTATTCAAGTGATATTTCCTCTTTTCCAACTAAGCCATATGATAAAATATATTCTTTTTTTTTTTTGCTTATACCTATTGTAATAGTAGGGTACATATGCCAAAGAAACTTTTCAAGACTAAACATTCTTGCATGTTTGTTCTGTAATGGTTTTCTGCATCTCCTATTGGCACATATTTTATAATAACAAATTTATTTTTTTAGGGGCTGGAAATTTGCGATGGCCACACAAGTTGCAATGCAAAACTCTGGTTCATATTCTGTTTCTCAGTTTCAGTCCAGAATGATCAGGTAAAATTTTAAATCTTCCTGTCCCACCCATCCCTGTCACCTGCATCTGATGTGGGTAACCTAATAATGAGAAGGAATGCATTTTCCAAGCTAATTTGAACTAATGCCCAGGACGCTACAGTTCCCATGCACAGCTTGATGAACACTTACTGTTAGTGTTGGGAAAGAGGCGCTGACTTTCCACAGAAGTATGACAGAGTATTAAATTAAAAAGACTAACAAACACAAAAAAAAAACCCCTCAGCACCTTAGTACCTTTTAAATGCTATGTGCAATATTTTTGAAAGGGAGATTTTTGGAGGTGTAAATTAAATTAGATTAAACTAACATTGTCAGAAATGACCATGATGGCTCATATTTTGATAAGGTGGGTGACAAGGACAAAGAGTAATGCATAGTGAGAACTGATTTGTTTGTCTTTTCTAGATGGACCAAGTTGCGAATTAATATGCTGCCTGCCACAATAATATGTGAGCCAATCTCGGAGTGCTTTGTTGCCAGTCTAGTTATTGGATGGGCAGCCCATCATATGTTTAGATGGGATATAATGGTATTTTTCATGTGTCACTGCTTGGCATGGTTTGTATTTGACTACATTCAACTGAAAGGTGTTCAGGTATGTAGCTTCTTCTTCTTTGGAGTTAATTAAAGTTACTCATGCCGTGTACTTCAGCAAAAAGCTAAGCCTAATTACAACAATGAAATAATTCTCTGGACATCAAAGAAACAACAGGTTAAATCCATTTACTTCTCAGTCTTCCAGCTTCAGCTATAATAACATGAAAAAGAGCAAGTGTGCTTGATTGTAATTTTCTTTTCTATATGTACCTGAAAGTTTGCATGTCTGTCCCCTTAATCTTCATGTTTCAAGTCTGCTCTGCCTAGGCATTTCCAGAAATTTTAAACTTTTTTTAACAGTACAAGAATAGCAGCTTTGTGAGGATTTTTATGGGGTGGGTTTTTTTGTTTTATCTTACTTGTAACTTTCTCTTGTATTTATAGATGAGGAAAAACTTTTTTCCCGTAAGGGTTACAGAGCACTGAACAGGCTGCCCAGAGAGGTTGTGGAGTCTCCTTCTCTGGAGACATTCAAAACCCGCCTGGATGCCTTCCTGTGCAACCTCATCTAGGTGTTCCTGCTCCGGCAGAGGGATTGGACTAGATGATCTTTCGAGGTCCCTTCCAATCCCTAACGTTCTGTGATTCTGTGAATAGTGGACTTACAGGACAGCTGTAGCCTACTTCAGAAAATAAAATCTTCCCATCACTTGAAGTGAGGCCTCGAACTTTAATATAGAAATTGTCACAAATGGGAACAGCATTTGTTCCTCTAAAGCTGTAGGGACTATTTAGACTACTTTCTGCTGTGACAATATTCCATCTGAATCTGATACATAATTACTTGTATATTCAAACTTATCAAATAGTTCTCACCATACTGAAAAATACTCTTTTAGTAGTCTTAGCACATACTGGAAATAAAAATCGTTAGGCCTTGTGTGGGTTCTGTAGGACTCCAGAAGGTCAGATTAACCATCACCTTTCTGATTACTTTTCGCACCATGTCCAGCATGTAAAAGATCTTTTTGCCTACTCTTTGCTAAGTCTGCTTTGATTTCCTGTTCTGCATGTAGCTGGAAATTCTCAAAAGAGCAGAAAATAGGGTATAAGATTTTTTCTTAGTCCCACTTCTCCTGTGCAATAGGGCAAAGGCTTATTTATTTGAATTCACTCTTCTGGGAATGTGCAGAAGTGTTCTGTCCAGGTGCTGTTCTTCTGGAGACTGTGGCACAAACCCAGTATCTGCTTGAACACAGTTCTACAAAGCTTCAAAAAGAAAAGTTCACCATTTTCCTTGCCTTTTGCTTTATGTACAAGTCTCTCTTCAAACCTTCTGGGTCATTTTGCCAAGCTCCTCATGTTTAATATGTGTAATCATATCTTGATCAGGAAATATTCTTGGCTTATAAAATAATGTTATTAATATGCAATAAGCTGTAAAATATATTTATGTGTAACACAAATGTTCTCAATTACTTTAAAATTCCTTTTGAATAATCGGTATGTTTAAGTGCTTGGTTTTTTTTATATTCCTAGGGTGGTCCTCTGTGTTTTTCAAAACTTGACTATGCGGTAGCTTGGTTCATCAGAGAATCCATGACAATTTATATTTTCCTATCTGCTCTGTGGGACCCCACTATTAGCTGGAGGACAGGACGTTACAGATTACGTTGTGGAGGCACTGCAGAAGAAATTCTTGATGTATAGCCACAGCTTTGTAAGTGTGAATGTCAAAAACAGAAGGGGAAAGAAAAGCATCATAAATTGTTTATATAAGTACTTTCAAGAAAATCTACCTTCAGTAGTTTTATTACTTGTATGTTTTGGTATCCCTTCTTTAATTTATTCTTGCATGGCCCTTGCATCTGTGAAAATACATCTGTAGTCTTGGCCAAATGGTACCTTGCTCCTATGTACAAATCGAAATGGAGAGAATTGGTCGTGACATCTACTTTGTATAGGACTGCTCTGCAGTAACTCCTTTGAAAAGAAAAAAAGTGTCCTCCTGGATATGAACAGCTTCTTAGTCCACGGTGTGCTAGCCTAGCAAATTCAGTGTTCACATAGCTATTTTCCAGCTGGATTCTACAAAGCTGTACCTAGTAAATACTACAGAAGTACAGCCAACTTCCGTTTTATCCTAAGTTGAGCTAGAAACAAGACCTCGGGAAAGAGGCTCTTGAATGCTTTATGCCTACCTCTTGTAGTTGCTGCAGAGCAGAATGAATGGAAAGGTAAAAATGCTTTGCAAAAGCAAACTGAAGTAAAGCTGGAGTCTCATGTTTATATGTATATATGGAGTACTTTAGTCATTGCAATGAACCAAAAGTGGACTGCGTTTGATAGAATGAGTTGGAAGGAATTACTGGTCAGGCATGAATTGTGGGCATCTTTTGTCCAACTCTGATCTGGTTCTGCCTTGAACCTTGTTAAGCACTGTGCTGTAACTCGCCAAGCTGGTCCCCTTCAATATTTCCATTGTTTTTTAAGGGGTGTTTGTTTTACCCTGTGAGTGAATGCTTTGACGGAGGGGCGATGTGTGTGTGAGAGTGTGTGTGTGTGTCTGTGTGACAAAGTAGTGGGTAGAAGGGAGCAGAAATACATTTCAGAATCATTTCACACCATGAGCTATTTTCTTACACAATGTCTTAAGAATGTAATTTCATGATGCAGGTCTTTAATATCTTTTTAAAGTAAACATACATACCTATACTAATAATAATTAAGTATTCAATTGCAGTAGATATTGTGACTATATTAAAGGGCCAGGTGAGTTTGCTGTTACTGATTAAAATTGTAATCTTAATTGAAATATCAAACTAAGCCTACTCTTGGCTTTTTGCCTTCCATTGTTAGTCTAGCCTTTAAACTGGACTTTTGTATTCCAGTAGTATGACTAAAAGATTATAATGCATGCCGTGTTTTCCCCTGTCTGCTCCCTGTAGCTTGGTTTCCAAACTCATTGTGAGACTTCCTAATTTGTGGTGAACTGGACTTGTTTTCTCTGAACACCTTTTAGTTAAAACCAACAGCAATGCTAGAGAGGGATGTTGCATAAGCCTTCTGTTTTCGTAATTGTATTTATGTTGCTTTACTTTTCTTCATATAGAATAGCATATTGTCACCATGAATGCGAGCTGCTAATTACAAGGCTAAGGCCAACAAAGCAGCTTTAAAAGTTGGATGATAATGTGTAGCATATTAGCAATAATGACGTGCATTTATAAAAAGTAACGTTTTTGAGCCAGTCCCTTACCTGTCATAGGCTACACAAGTGTAATGTGTATATTTGTGTCGTAAACCATACTCTGGGCCAAAACGCTTCATCCATCTTAATATCTCTTTTGCCTTGTGATGCCATGGAACTATTTTAATGGGCATTTCTGTATGAACAAAGGCTTTGATGCCTGCTTCATTCTTTTCATGTGAATCAGGAAGAAGGACTTTTCCTGAGGAAAGTTGCACACTGAAACCTAGTCTAGTTGTGACCCACGAAAACATGCTGGTTATAGAATTGTTTTTTACATAGGTGAATTTTGCTGACAATGTTTGTATCTTTCTTTGTTTAATGAAGTTTGATGCCATTCATTGCACTGCTGAGGTGAAGCTTAGCTTGCAACATAGCTTTATGCTGATTTTTATGCAGGCAATGGAACAGAACCAAAAAAAAGGCTGAACAGACTTCATTTTGAAAACAAAATTAGGTGGGGATACTTGTTTAACAGGTGCTTTTGTATTAGTAGAGCCATCTTTGGTCATGAAAAAATAAAGCTTCACTTAAGCAAATGGTTTCATTTTGGTATCGTTGGGTTGATTATGGAAAGGAAACCAATTCTGTCAAATGTTGTAGAAGATGCTGCAACAGAATTTGTAGAAGTTAAAAATGGCTAATGTAAAGTTGCGTTGATCAACAGAGGTGCAGAGTATACCATGTTTATTTAAAATAATTGTCTTGGTTTTTCTTATTTAAAAATAAATTTTGAATACAATCTGTTTGGACTACAGAGGGTTTTTTTGCCTTTTGTTCAATGATACTGTAACATGGCAGTTTATTAGTGGCAATTTTGATAGATTTGATTTCTAATTAATCTTCACAGCAATAAATGGATGTGCCTTTATTGAGGTTTTTACACCTGGACCATCTGTTTTGGATTTTACATTTTGCTGAAATGTACTCACATGTGCGTAAATCTTATTATGAGTTATCCTTAGTTTGTTACAGTTTGCAGTTTTTTGCAGTTAAGAGGTGCAAACCAGCCAGTTGGAATGGAAGTTTGTGGATTGCTGCTTGTTTCTGTTTCATCCCTCCACACAACCCCCCATCTCCTTCTCCCTGTTGCTGACAGGAAGGAAGGGCCTCAGCCAAACCCATGTGCCAGCTGGAATTAATGGCCACTCTTTATATGCAGCCAACCTGTGGGTGAAAGGAAGAGGTCAGGCTCATGTGCTTGTGAAGGAAGCCGGTAAACTCACTGGGAGCACGAAACAGGAGCTGTCAAAAGAAATCTCTTCACTGGGCTTTGACAGGAAGTGAGTTATTGTTCTTGATTCGGGTTTTGCATCCTCTGGGCCTGTGTTAAACTTAGATCTGCTTGCAGGGTTGCAGTGAGCCCAAGTGAATCTAAACTCTGCTCGTCTTTCCTCCAGCCCTTACTGTATGATGAGTAGCTTTTCTTCTTTTAAGGCTTTCCTGTTGCCTGCAAGAGGTTATTTTTATGTATTCAACAGTAAGTTATTTTTGGTGGCAATGACTCCTTCCTTTCTTTGATACCAAAATACTGGGGGAGGTGCTGGGACAACAGAAGACCCACAAAGTACACGTGTAAAAATGCAGTAACACATTCAAAAGTGACTCCCTAACCTTGTGGAAATGAGAATATGTGCAGAAACTATTAAGCTTTCAGAGGATTCTGTCAGTAGAGATATTTCAGTTTATTTTTCTATTTGCACATACATAACATTATATATAAATTTGTATGTGCATACATTTTTATAGATGAACTTGCATATGCAATTATATATTCACTAATACCACAATAAATCCTTGCAAGAAGCTTTGACTTTGACAAGCCTGTTCTTTTCTGTGGGTAGGCCAGACAGGTTAAACCATGTTTTTCTAATATAAAAAGCCAGCAGCTCAAAGTTAAATAAATCATGAGCCACTGGGGCTAGTATTGCATTTGATTTCATCTCTCAGTGAGCAGACAGAGGAAGGCTCAAGAAAATGTCAGTTGCTTTTTCTGGCCTCTTTACTTTACAAGCTTGAACAGTGTTTTCTTAGTCTAGCCTTTTGGGTCATCTCGGTAACTCCCCTGGAGGGAGAATTTGGAGACGCTGCTTTGTCAGCTGGCAGCCACACCCCAAAATCTGAGCAAGGCAAGACCTTACTTTTGTCACTTGCCTCCTTTCTGTTCAGTTTCCCTGGCTTCTTACCTTCCCTCTTGGGACAAGTGCTTTGTCCCTAGGGGTCTTTATAAAAGTTTTCCCTGAAGACAGAAATGTGGGAGAAGGAGTAAGAACAGAAAGGAGGAAAGAATGGTAGTGAATGCAATGCTAAATTTGTGGTTAATGCTCCAGGGTGAGGAAGTACGGGCAAATCTGGGTGATTTTGCAAAATGTTGGGTAATTAGGAATACTATCACAGAGGTAAAACCTTAGAAATGTTTTTGAGGGCTTTTGCTTAGAGAGAGACTAAGACCTCTTGAGCTGTTCCTCAAGGCTATTTCTCTAGAGCAAGCCTGTTTCCTTTGAATTATGTGGAGTTTTCAGTATGCTGGCTGGCTGGAGGTCTGTGGCTGGCAAAGGAGCCAGGAGGGGTTGCTGCACACCCTGCAGCTGAATAGCAAGACATAGGAACTTACAGCCACTGTCTCGTGGTTACAGACCACTCAAGTCCTTCTTGTTTTGGCCCCCCATATCTTGGAGTGTCCAGTTGCATGCGAAGTCCTGCAGATGATTTGTAGGGTAAGGATGGCTTGCCACTCTTGGCCCCTTGGCTGAGTGGGGAGGGAGCTACAGCTGGAGCAAACAGATTTGGAGTGTCCCCAAGTTTGGGAGTGCCTGCAACCATGGGCTTTATTGGAGATGACAATGTTTGCTCTTGAAATTGCTGCTGGTGGATTTCCCTACTGTGAAGGGTCCTTGCTGTGTGTCGCCCTGTGTGGGACCTGGGGAGTCCATTTGTCAAAAGCAGACAGTGTATCACGAAGGGAGAAGGGAGCTGGCAGATGTTAGCGGTGTTATCCTGTGAGCATGACCCGTCTAATCCTGGTGGTGTGGACTAGGAACCCTCTTCCTTTCAGGTGCTAGAATAGCACAGGCTTAAAATGCTGGTGTGTTTCAGGCATCCTCCCTCAATTATGACAACAATTAAGTAGAGTTGTGTAATGCGGTCAGCGATGACCGCGTATGGATATAAAGTGTATCTTGTCTGTATGCAGACCAACACAAACAATGATCTCATCATAACGCCTCAGCAATATGCTAACTCTGCTGGGAGTGAACAGTCATATTTGACATCCAGTGGCACTTTCATAAAGACAGTCTGTGCAGCCAGAATACAACTGTGTAACATTTCTGTGCTTTGCCTGTCAAAGAAATTGCTTTTGTATGCAGCAGGTGATGGATAAAGAGTTTATTTCATTTTGCTTAAAGCCATAGCTGAAGTGAGCACCAGAAATGAAATTTGGCATTTCCAGCAGCTCTCTGTTCTGTGATTAACAAAGAAGCTGGTGCATTTCTGCCTCGGGCAGTCTGTTGCTGTTGAACAGTAG